ACCCTCTCTCTAAAATAAGTAAACTTTTAAAAAAATATCTTAGGTCGCCTGGGTGGCTCAGTGGGTTAAGCATCCAACTTCGGTTCAGGTCACGATCTCCCATTCCGTGAGTTCCAGCCCCGTGTCAGGCTCTGGGCTGACAGCTCACAGCCTGGAGCCTGCTTCGGATTCTGTGTCTCCCTCTCCCTCTGCCCCCTCCCCACTCACGCTCTGTCTCTCTCTGTCTCAAAAATAAATAAACATTTAAAAAAATTTTTTGAATACTTTAAAAAATAAAATAAAGTTTTGGACTGATTGCTCCTCTGTAATGAAATTTTCGCCAGATTCAGTGGGCAGTGGAAGGCGTGGGATTGGCTCAATTTTTAACTCAGGCCACGGGGCAGGCTCAAAGTTCCTGTCACAGAATCCGGCAACAAGTCTAAGACAAGAAAAGCCATCCTCCCAAACGGATCCACCTCCGACCACCTGACCCCTCCACACCCCCACCCTGGGCCTTGGAGATGTTCTGCCAGGCGCCCCCATCCATCTGTCCATCCTCCACACAGCTGCTGGGCCTCGTGGGGGACGGCGGGAGGCCCCGCGGGACGCTCCTCTGCGGTCAGGCACAGCTGGAAGGCCGTGCCGTGCCGAGCGGAACCAGCGGGCCTCACGGCGAAAGGTCTCTGGTGCCCGCGCGGCCGGTGACCGACAGCAACTACCCCGTCTGGTGGGCAAGGCTGCCGCCCCGGCGGCCAGGAGGCTCCGGGGCTGCTGTCCCAGGGACATCCGCAGGAAGCAATGCCCTCCTCTCAGGCTGGCACGTTAGAGTTCCTTCAGTTGTGTCCAAACTCCAGACCCGTGAGAAGTTTTGCCCTAATTCACTAAATAAATCCGCTAAGCTGATAGGTTTCCACGGAGAAAGATCCCAAGATGGACTGAGGGCAGAGAGCACTCAGAGTTACAGGGTGAACCAGTGCTGCTGAGGACGGCAGGACCTTCCGCGGCAACACCGCGGGCCAGGCCGGGCCACGCCTCGTCACTTACGTTCTACGGGGTCGTGGAGAAGCGGGTGCAGGAGGGCGCGGGGGGTGCCGTGGTACAGCTTCAACCTGCAAGACACGTCCAGGGGGTGCACGTCAACTCTCCGCATCTTGCTTCCAGTCACCAGACGTCAGCCACACGTCTCGGAAGGAAAGCACGCAACTCACCAACCGCCCCACACCTACTAGAGCTTTCTACACACCAGAAAATCACACCTTCCACAGAGAAGAGAGATGGCCAAGCGGAGCAGCAGCCCCCCCGTGCCACCCACGCCCCTGGCGCCCCCCACACCCCCCCGTGCCCCTGGCCACACACTTCCAGCACACGGACAGCCCGCCCCCACGCACCCAGGTGCTAGAAAACTACGCCAGGGAAATTTATAACGCTCTGAAATGTCCCAGCAAAGACAACGTCTGAGGAAGTGCCATGGTTGTGTATCCAGACCACTGGTTTTCTCAACCAGGGGTGAGACTGCCTGATATTTGGTAGCGTCCACAGGTATTTCCAATGGTCACAAGTGGGGGGAGGAGGCTGGGAGGTTTCTGGCATCTAGTGGGTAAGGCCAGGGATGTTCTCAGAGATCCTGCAGCACACAGGATGCCCCCCGGCAAAGACTTATCCAGCCCCAGGTGTCAGCCCGCCCAGGCTGAGAAGCCCTGCTCCAGAGGGACAACGTAAGCGTCAACCCCGGCCAGCGTGGGGACACACGGTCTTCTCCATCCTGGTCTGTGCGGCTCCTGGACAGGGCCTGGCACCAAGTGTGTATGGAGGAGTGCCCGCTGCTCACCGCGTGCGTGCTCGAGAACGTATCTGGTACCCCCGCAGCCTTACGAGATGCACACCGTTCTCTCTCAGGCACACACGAGGGAATTCGGAGCCAAGAGTCTAGGTGCCTGGCCCAAAGCCCCCCAGGACTAAGTGAGAGCCTGCGCCCGCCTTATACCACCCCCACGCCCAGGGCCAGAGCCGGCCCCACCCCCATCTAAAGGACAACTCCCTGGCTTACTCAGAAATGGCAAACCCAGCTACTCCAAAGCAAAGACCTCCCAGAGTACACACCGTTGGGAACAGACCACAACACAAGTGGACAAAGGGAAAGCTTTCCGTGTGGGGGATGATGAGCAGTTAACTCTCCCCAGAGTGAGGCTGGAAAATCCCAAGGATAAAGAAAACGAGGCAGATACCGCTTGTCCTGGGAGGCTGAGGTAGGAGACTCCAGCTTGTTGCCGAAGATGCGAAGAATTCCGAACCCACATGACAAAGCCTGGAGGGAGCCATCCGGCCTCCTGCCCTCGGTGACCACTTCGACCACAGCCACGATGTTAGGGTGGTTTAAGGACGTGTGAAAATACAAGGACTGCAAAACAGAAACCAGAACGTAGGTGATGGACTGTCCTGCAGGTCCTAAAATGCCGCAAACGTGTCTCCTCCTGGGACACACCTCCTTCTAGGGCGTTGGAGCAGAATAGCCCCGTCGGAGTTGGGAGTCGGAGTCGGAGTCAGAAGCTGGTATCACGACTTTTCATTCGGATGGGAATGAATGAAGCTGTTCTGTTCCAGGAGCTCCCAGCCACTCCCATCCACTCCCATCCACGGAACGTGCCGCAGGCCCTGCACCTAAAGGCAGGAGCGACTTCACGCCCCCGTCACCTCGTGGGAACCAGTCATTGCAAACACACACGCCTGCCGACCCGTCCCACAGAACACTCACCGCCTAAAACTTCAACCCAGCTTGCCAACGTCGGCCCTAGTCTGTTTTCTGTGCAGCCATTAAGAAGTTCCACCAAACCAATTGTTTCAACTAAGCAGGATCCTTAGGTTTCTTGAGACGCTATGTAATCATCCCCAGTTCAGAGCCCAGCTAACATCTTTTTACGACAAAAATCACCTCGACAGCATTTTCTTACAAGACTGTTTTTGGACCTAAGCCAAGTAGACGGTATTCAGGTGGCTCCTAAAAGGTTTCCCACCTGTCACCTTTCCGCTCCATCCTATGCAAACAGAGCCCCAGCTGGGCCCTGTCCCGCCCCGCCCCACCCATCCTGGGGGTCGTCCTGGTGGTAGCCTTAAGGGAAAGACAACAGAGGGGAGTCAGAGCCACCTGCCTCTGCGCCTGGCTGCACGGTGGCGTTCTCCGTTGGCACAGAAGAGAACGCGCCTCCACTCTGTGGGCTTTGTGGTTCTTTTATTTCGTGAGCCCAGCGCAGTCACCTCTGTTTAAAGCTAATAAACGTCGTCGGCACCGAGGATGCGGACAGGATCGCGGCCGGGCTTCGCAGGTCAAACCTAGACAGAGGTGCTGAGCTGTGGCTCTGCACTGGGAGCGTCCCCGGAACTGCATCCGCACTGGGGGAGAGTGACGGGTGAGAGGTCACCCCCTTGCACACATAGACCCCCCCACCCCAGCCAGGGAGCGGTAAGGCAAGGCCACGCTGGGCAGCTTCAATGTGATTTAACCGTGGACTAATCCCCCATTAACGAGTCATTACCAGGGTGTCACCGAGAAAACGTTTCCTGTAATCACAGACTGTCAGCCCAGAATAACAGAGAGACACATTAAAACATCAGCCGTGAGATATAAATCGTTATTCTATTATCTTTTATGGCAAAATGATGAAATAATGGCCACTCACAGCTGACAGGTGGTGGGACCAAGACAGAATTATGTTTCTGTTTCCGAGACTCAAGAACTGTTTTTGAACGGCCGGCCGCAGCGTCGGTTTGTCACCATCTCACCTGTCCTATCAATACCTGGGTACGTCCGTGTTAGCAACACCGCCCGCTTCTCCTTCCGGCAGCGAAACAGATGCTCCGATGCAAAGCCACGAAGGTCCCCCACTCGGAGGTCACCCTGACACTGCTCTGCCTGGAGCAGTAGCACCAGCTGTTCAGCAGGCCTAAGTTCGAATTTAGGGCCGCGGCCCTTCCCTGCCATCTGCCCCCGAAGACGGTGATTTGAGACCGGAAACGACGACAGCAGAGCCCCGCTGCTGTCTGTCCCCAAAGACCCCACCTTCAACCAGGAGCGTCGGCCGCCGGGAGCACAGCATGCCGACCGTGACCCGAGGCCTGAAGGGTGTTACCCTGTCACTACTGACCGTGAAGGGCGCGTGCTCTTTTCCAAACGTCATTTACGGAGCCTTCAGTGTGGGGAGAGCACCGTGCTGAAGAATCTCTAAGGAACCTGAAGACACGACCCCACCCCCAAGTTCAGAGCTCAAAGGTAAGGCCAGCCTCGGCAGGTATAAAACACAAACCCAGTGCAGAACCCCCCAGAAGCCTGTGGAAGTAAAAAGGCTCCCAGGGGTTGAGAGCACAAGGCAGCCGTGGAGCTTCTCAGAAAGAACACAACAGGCCCCAGGGTCACCTGTGCCGAGCCCCGGTCAGCAAACAAGGCCACGCCTGACCTAGTGCGGTCTCCACCTCTCGGGCACATAACCTTTAACCTGGCAACCTGGGACTCCCTGGTCGGTGCTGGTGACACAGACCACCTGGTTGACCCCTGCCTTCCCCCCACAGGAAGGGGACCTCACCCGAGAACAATGTTCTCTCTGCAGAAACGACTTTTTCCCACCCTGTTCTAGCCCTGCACTCTGTCCAGCTCCCCGGAGCTCCTTTCTATTTGCCGGATGGGATGTCGCCTCATTCATGAGTCGTGAATACAGCAAATTAGATTGTCAAATTTACACAGCTGATTTTTGGTTTTTGGGGTTTGTTGGTGTTTTTTTTTAGCTTAGTTATTTATTTTGAGAGAGAGAGAGAGAACACTCAAGCAGGCGAGGGGCAGAGAGAGGGAGAGAGAATCCCAAGCAGGCTCCACACCATCAGCACAGAGCCAACACAGAGCTCAGACTCAATCCACGAGATGGTGACCCGAGCAGAAATCCAGAGTCAGACACTTAACCAACTGAGCCCCCACGGCCCCTGATTTTTGTTTTCTAACAAGCTTTAATCCTCTGGTCGCCTTGCGGGGACCGTCCCCAGGAGGGCAAAGTGGGGCCAGCCCGGCTCACCAGGTACCGAGGTGCCATTCCCACCTTGCAGCACGTGATTGGACTCCGCCAGCACTCCCGCCAACACTCAGCTGAGCCAAAACTGCAAATAAGCCCTTCAGTGTAAGAATGTCTAATTAACACCACGCGGCAGGCTGCGAGAGGAAAATCCTGTGCGTCAACTAAAACCGCGTGATTAAAAGTTTGAGTCAAGCCCATCAAATTACCTGCAAGAGAAGAACTCTCGGGACTGAAGAGGGGGGCTCTCGTTCACTCCAGTCACATCCCCACTCATCTACACTTGACAGGATTCCTCCCTGATGGGGTAAACAGGTTAATAAATCATGGAAATGCTCCTGTCTTAACGCCTTCATCTTCCAAAACATGGACACCATTTTGCCCAGGGGCCAGGTCCTCATTTCTCACCCACATGACAGAACTGAAATGGGGCGTCTGATGACGCGCCGTGATGGAGAGGCCGCGGCCACGTGTCCCCAACTGCACTGCCACTCGACCTGCTCGCTTCAGTCGCAAGCGGAAGGCTGGGCGGCGAGGCCAGGGAAGAGAGGAGCAGAGATGGCAACAGTGTCTTCGAGCAATTCTTTCCCAACAAGCCTTTAACAGAGAATCTTCAGGAAGGCAGATGGCTTACCAACACTTCCTGTGGCCTCCCACTTGAGGCTCAGATGGTTTCCTGTGCACTTGCCACCATGAGCCCGAGTGCCCCAAACCCGGGGACTCTGTGACACAAAACTCTCCTCTGGGAAACGCAAAGTCTCCAGCTCCAAAGTCAGAGGCTTCTGTGCACCCAGGGCAGAGCCCGCCATCACCCACAGCACACAACACACAACAGGGCCAGCCCCAGGGGTCAGCCCACCCAGGCCGAGAGGCCCTGCTCCAGAGGGACAACGTAAGCGTCAACCCCGGCCGGCGTGGGGACACACGGTCTTCTCCATCGTGGTCTGTGCGGCTCCTGGACAGGGCCTGGCACCAAGTGTGTATGGAGGAGTGCCCGCTGCTCACCGCGTGCGTGCTCGAGAACGTATCTGGTACCCCCGCAGCCTTACGAGATGCACACCGTTCTCTCTCAGGCACACACGAGGGAATTCGGAGCCAAGAGTCTAGGTGCCTGGCCCAAAGCCCCCCAGGACTAAGTGAGAGCCTGCGCCCGCCTTATACCACCCCCACGGCCAGGGCCAGAGTGTCCACTTTTTAATTTTTTTTAACATTTATTCATTTTTGAAA